TGAACTGTTTGGACTTATTCAGACATCCTTTCATGATTTCTATAGTGGACATGAAGCGACTTCGACTCCAATTGGGTAGAGACCTGCTAGCTTTGCAGAATAGTAAGGGTAGAGAGCGATTACAAAAAAATAAAGCCACAACTCAGCAAATGTGAAACCTAACAACTGCTTCATCTGTGTTTTTGTTGGAAATGTGAACTAAACCCAAAATATTTCCATAGGTGTTTTTCCACATTCGTCTCAGCAGTGTTTTTCTGTTGCTTTATTCACTTTATTCACCTGGACTGCAACAGACTTGGACTGTATTTCATGTCTGAAAGAATAGATATTTATTGGGTGTTTTTTGAAAAGGTTTTTTTTCTCTGTTAATAGACTAGGCAATAAATCTCACAGTTTGTCTTCTTTTAGAGCATTTTTATAGGCTTACATAATACTAGATTTAGCTGCTTGAACTTTGAGCACAAAGTTCCAACTACAAGTAAAATTTTTAATATTCACACTTTCATACCTCAGACAGCTATGCTATTGAAATGGTACCTTACCTTTTTTATTATTCTCAAAGAGAATGAGACTCAGCATCTGGCTTGAGAATGTGCTCCAAGTAAACCCTGAGGTCTGAATATTACATTACATTGCGGATTATTTTCAATTATACTACTCTATTTAAAGGCTTCATTTGAAGCTTGAGTTTGTCAGTTCATCAATAGTAGGACTATTATAGGAAAATAGGCTTTGATACAGGAATTATTTATATATAAAAGACATATGTTTTTTGATTGGGGGAGATATGTTCGACTGCCTTGTCAAACTAATAACAGTCTTAACGGCGAATGATTTTCACAGAACTTTCCTCATTATATGTGCATTTAAGGAGGTAAATATGTTTAAAGACACTGTTTCCATTGCCGTTACGCCCATTGATCATCAGGGTGTTGAGATTATTCGATTGTATTTCTTACAGTTTCAGCCTAACCAGCATCTGTGCTGAAATGTGCCCTTGTGCTCACAAAAAATTTAGCTCGTTAGCCTGATTTTCAGTGTTATGGTGACTTTGTGGGGCGTAACAACCTGCCACACTGAACTATGCTTGCGAGAACGCTGTGCTAAACTGAGATCAACCACTGTGTGCCAGTGTTTAAAATAATTTTTTTTTTTTACTTTGATCAACAGCTGACTTTTCTGATGCACTTTTTCTCCAAGCTTAGAACTATTTTACTTACATTAGTAACAGAATTTCCTTTCCTTTGATCACAGCAATAAAATTGTTCTTCTGGGCTTACAGATCCACCTTTGGAGGTGAAAATTTTTGAAGGACCAATGAAAGATAAGAGCTTTACCTGTGAGGCTGATGCCAGTCCAAATGCAACAATTACCTGGAGCAGGTACGGTAGATTTTAATACTAGCTCATTTTTTTTATCACTAGCACATTTGCCATCTCTGAGATAGTTTACTTTTTGTCGTGCTTTTTGGACCTCTTCCATCTTTCTGCTCTTTTGGCGTTAAGCTTAAGCATTTCTGTAAAAGAAAGGTGTTTTTCTCCCTTACACTAACTAGCGGATGCTATACTTATATATAAAGGCATTGCTTCTTACCTGGCCCTGAATGGGCATCATTCTTTAATTCCGTTCCAGATTCATCATTAGTTTATTTTTAATATTTATTCATAACATCCCTCATGCTTTTGTTGTCATCTTCCCTCTTTCTCTTCTCTTTTGTTTTCTGTGCGCCGGACTTCTGAAAATCTGACATTGATAGTTTGCAATGAAACAAACTTTAAAAGTTGCAGCCCGCTGTTTTCCTGGTCAAAGCATTTCATGTAGGGCTGGGGGGAATTCTAATGGCCCCTTATTTAAAGGAAACATATTACATACACCTAATGTGTGTGTGTATATATATTTATTTACAAATATCTTCAGAGAAACTGCTTGTACTGCCTGTATTTTTAATGTTCAGACAATCAATTTAGGGCCCCTTTCTGACTTGGGCCTGGGACAACTGACCCGTTTGTCCAAACAAAAACAAAAATATTTATGATGAACAAGGTTTGCAAAATGAGTGTTTAAAGGGCAGACCTTGGTAGGTCTGTGGCTAACTGTGCTCAATATCAAATAGGTTAGCCTGTATTAGCTCGGCCAGTTACCCTCATAAGCTACACTTTTTTTTTTTCTACAAGTAGAATAACTTTTTTTCCCCGTCTTTTTTGTGTTTTTGTTTTTTTCTGAAATCCCCACGTCATTTTAAGACGTTCCAGTTGTCCTCCCCTGTCCTCAGATCTTAACAAAAGTAGCAAATAAATACAAAACTACTGAATTTGTCAAGAACATTTTTGTTTTAACTATTTGATTTGTTTCCAGAACAGCTGATTGGCTCCTGGGTGGAGCTTTTTTTAGGATTCAGATCAATCCTGAAAGCTAGCCTGCCCTGGAGTAGGTATACTGTTCAGACTACGTTACCATGGTTACTAGCATCGCTAAGAATTAATCCAACTTTGGTACCAGAAAGTCAAGGTTGAGGTTTAAGTTGTCTCGCTAGTTGTGAATTTCAGCAGCTCCCATTAGAGTGAGCTATATCGTTACTACCACTGTTTTTAAGCACATTAGGCCAATCTCCTTAGGCTTATTCTAAGTCAGCAGCAGTAGAATGTTTTGTCCAAATGTCTGCATTTTCCAGCCACCATTTTGCCAGCAGAGAAGGGTAGATGCAAAGTGGTACTCATCGCTGCATATTACCATGAAAAAAAGAATGCATTGTTACACATATGAGAGCCTCAAAAGGCAAAGCAATTTTTATACAGCACAGCTCAGTAGCAAGACAAAGTACTGTACACGAAAAAAAAAAAAAAAAACACAAAGGATTATGTACGAGGTAAGAAAAAAAATGTACTGTAAAGGAACCCAACAAATAGTTATACAAGGAAAAGGACAATCAAAAACTTCAGAGAACCAACCTCTCATCCTCTCCTCTATAAAATTTATTCAGAAAAAGGCTTTACCATAAAAACACAAAGGATGGATACCACAGAGACCCATTGTCAGCAGCATTTACTCTGTCACAACATTGTAAAACATCTCCCCAACACAAACAAAATTCCAAAGGCTTTGTTTTTCAAGTGTGACTCTTGAGACTGGTAAGCAGTGAAACCATTTGTCAACAATGGGAGGTCCCGGGTCCGACTTTTGAAGCCAGCTTTTTTTTGGTCATGGAGGTGACAAGTGAAACCACAGGGAAAAGTTACCTAGTTGGGAAGTGAACTGAATAAGCTGTTGTAATAGGTTGACATGTGGAGGAGTCTTATTAAAAAAGCTGAGCAGCAACAGCCTTTTGGTTCCACTTCACTTTCTCAAAAATGTCCAGTAACCCTAGACCTGACAGGAGAGTAGTTTGGGGAGTTAACTTTTTTTTTTTTTTTAAGTTGTGCAGTCGCGCTTACCCGTCTCCAAGGTGGGCTGAGAGTGGCGATGTTGACACAGAGATTTTTTTTAAAGTCCTCCAGGCTTCCTTCAATGTTCAACTCTGCTGGGTCCATACTTTTTGCTGGTTCCTTCTGTCAACAATGGGGGTGAGGTTGCTTGAGGATCCAAAATGCAGCAATGTGTGAAGCAGAGATGAGTTCTGGTTTACTTAATAAAAAACTGAGGCATACATCCACAAATGCAAAGAACCAAAAAAAATAAAAAATTAGGGAAAATGCAAGTGGGGAGTTAGACGAGAAAGCAACTAAAAACAACAAGGAAACAGTACTGAGTGATTGCAGAGGTGGTGTATATAAGGGGAACAGAACAACGGATGGGCTAATGAGCTGAATGTGGAGCAGGTGTGAGTGGAACTAACTAGAAGGAAGCCAAGGGGAAAGGAAACAAGCACAAGGGGGTAACACAGAGTAACTAAAGACTGCTTGAATATAATTGAAAATAGACCTAAGATCAACAAAACAGAATAACTGAAAACTAAAAACTCAGAGTCCCAAAAGGGGAGATTCAGAAGCAGAAGGGTGAACAAAGGTTGAAGGAAGTAGTTGTTAAACGATGAAGGCCACCATTTAACATTTTCAACTCTCATGCAGGTTTCACCCTATCCTGAGACTCTTTCTGAGGAAATTGTGTAATAGCAGTGTCATTGTGATCCATGTGGCCAAGTAAACAACTTACACCAAAGCACATGATTAACGAGTAGGTCACTGAGTTAAATGTGACTCTGGAAGGGCCTAGAACAATATGCCTCCACATGCTTAAAAACATTAGCAATCCTTCTTCAGTTTGGTCTGGTGAGAGCTGTCAAATTTGATAAAGACCCCTGTAATATATCTCGAAACCTTTTCAGAAAAAACTTAGATGATGTCCTGTAAGCCTGTATTTTGGTGAGGAAAATGTTGAAGAATGTTGAATTGAAGAGTACTGAAGAAAGAGGGCACAGGTGGAGGAGCAGAGTTTATCGAGTTAGAAAACTTACATAAACACTAAAACACCGGAGGATCAGAGATCCTACCACCACAGCAGAAGCGGATTTAGGAAATTTGGGGCCCTAGGCAAAGACAGGCAGGGGGCCCTTTGAAATGAGAAGACAGCACATAAAACAGACCCATTATACAGATACAGAAATTTTAATAGAGTAGACATACATAATTTTTTCTACATTTTGTCCCTCTCTTGTTGTTTTCCTCTCTATGTTTTGTAGGGCTGCAACGATTAGTCGACGTTGTCGACAAAAGTCGATGATAGAAATTGTCAACAATGAATTCCATTGTCGACTATTGTCGCCAGACGCGTTTTTCCAACAGAGTGAGGCATCTCACTTGATTATGATCTCTGCTGAGAGTCGCTCATGCGCAGTAGTGTCTCTGTCTCTGAGCGGTAACATACAAATATGGTGGCGTCAATATCAGGTACACGTACCAACACTTCTAAAGTTTGGGAGCATATTTTAGCTTGGATATGGCGAATAAAAAGATTACTTGCAAGGTTTGCAAAGCAGACCTTGCATGGCAAGGCACCTCTGTGATGCACGAACATTTAAAGAGAAAGCACGTCGGGGAGTTGAACGAAACAGAGTCTGACTCGCCTCGGTAAGATGCAAGTAACATTCAAGCCAATGCAGTTTTAATGACATACATTGTGCATTTTATAAGCGCATTTTTGCTATTAAAAAGAGCTTGAGCGTTATGCCAGACTGCCTGACAAACATATTTTAAATTAAATGCACGCAGTCCAAAGAAGAGAAGCACCATGGACCCCTTCCTGCAAAGGAGGCAGACATGCACCCCGCAACAGGCGGCTGCCCTCACTGAGTCAGTACTGCAGATGCTCATCTATGATATGAGGCCACTCTCCATGGTTGACAGTGCTGGGTTTCAACAGATGATAGCCCAGTTCAACCCTGACTATATCCTGCCATCCAGGACCCATTTCACCCACTTGATGGAGCAGAAATACAGTACAATGTTTCTGAAGGTAATTGTTTAAATACACACACATAGAGTTCATATAAGCAATCACACATTTCATTTAATAGCAATTATGTATTTCATATTAGCAATCAATCACCCCCACCCACCAACACACACACATTTCATACAAGCAATCACAAATGTCATTTAAAAGCAATTATATATTTAATTAATATATTACATATTTACTTATTATGTATTAAAATATCTGAAATACATAACTTAATTTTGGTAGTATGATAGAGCAGCTGCAATAAAACTTTTATGTTGAATAGTTTCTGTTGATTTGTAGGTTTTTGCTCTTTAAATATTTACAAAAATCAACTTTTGTGTTTAAAGGTAAAGGAGATCCTAAAAGAGGTCAGCAGCTCCCTCACACTGACGTGTGATGTTTGGACCAGCCGTGCCACAGAGGCATATCTTGGAGTTTCGTGTCACTTCATTACCAAAGACTGGCAAATGAAAACTCTAAACCTCCCCACTCTACCTCTAGAGGAGAGGCATACTGCTGCCAACATCATGTTATGGATGGAAGAGGTGATAGAGAAATTTGACATCTTGCCTAGCAAAATTAAAGCAATAGTACATGACAACGGGTCTAACATGGTGGCTGCAGCTCGACTCCTGGAAGAAAAACATGGTTGGTTTTCTGTGCGCTGTGCTGGGCACACTCTCCAACTTATTGTTAACAGTACCCTCAAAGAGCCCAGCATCAACAAAGCCACCGGTGCAGCAAGAAACTTAGTGGAGCACTTTAGGAGAAGTGAGCTGGCGAATTCAAAACTGAAGAAGCAGCAGCAAATGAACACAGCAGAGCACAAGCTGATCCAGGACGTAAATACGCGATGGAATAGCACGTACTACATGATGGAGAGACTCCTGGAGCAGCGATGGCCAGTCACAGCGACCCTCTCTGACCCTGAGGTAACACCTAGAGGCAAGCACTACTGTGACCTCAAACCAGAGCAGTGGGTGCTACTTGAAGAGCTGGTGCAAGGGTTGGGGCCTTTTGAATGTGCAACCATTTTCCTCAGTGGACAGGAGTATGCTACTGCTTCATGTCTTCCACAGCTGGTCAAAGGTCTGCAACGGTCCATACAGCAAACACAGTTTGAGACGAGTGCAGGAAAAGCCTTTCGAGCAATTGCAGGAAAGGGAATAAGTGAGAGGTTGGAGAATCTTAACACTGTGTCTGCAGAGAGAGACAACCCACTTGTTCTTGCAGCTGCCATCAACCCAAGATTCCGAAAGATGAAGTTTATCTCCCCTGAAGATGGCACAAGGGTGCAAAGCACAATTGAAGTTCTTGCCATAATAGAAGCTAAGGCTGAGACTGGGATACATGATGACCCTGAGCTACAGCTGAAGAGGAGGGGCAATGTCTCAGGGGGAAAGTCAGCGCTGGATAACCTTCTTCAGTCCGACACTGACAGCCGGAGTGAGGAAGAGGAGGAGACCCAGTAGGACCTAAAAATCCAAATGGTGAGGAAGGAAGTTCAGCTGTTCTTCACAGAGGCACCAATAGGCAAAAAGGATGATCCGCTCAGCTGGTGGAGAGAAAATGAGGGGCGTTTTCCCACACTGTCCAATGTAGCAAGATCCCTTTTGTGCATTCCTGCAACATCCACCCCAACAGAGCGAATCTTCTCAGCAGCAGGACATATCTGCTCGCAGAAGAGAGCAAGTCTCACACGAGACCATGTTGATATGCTGACTTTTCTTAGTATAAATAAACTAAACAACATATCCTGAGCCTCATCTTGATTTTAAACCTGGTCTGTCCACCATGACAAGTTTGTGTCCAAGTTATATCACACAGCCCATGTTTACAACTTGAGTAAAGACAGCTCTGAATGCTTATTTTCAGCTGTATCTACTAATGTCAGTTGTTAATACCGTTAGATTTCAGACTGTTGAGAATTGTAAAGTTCCTTTGCAACAGACAGTTGACCATTGAATGTGCTTCACAAAATGCACATCTTTGTTTTATTTAATGTTCTGCTGCTGCTAATGAGCCTGTTCTTGGTTTACAGGGGAAAAAATGTTTATTTGATTTTAATTTATTAATAATTTATTTCCCTGTCCCTAAAAAAATGGACAGAGGTTTATTTATTTATCAATTTATGTCTCTGTTGACTGAGCACTGTGCCTAATTGAAGTTAGGAAATTTTTATTAAATTTTTATACAAATCCACAGTATGTGCAATAAAATAAGTTTTTTCATTGTAACCATCTTTTTTGTGTTCATTATCATGTACCACATAATTAAATCAACTTCATGCTGAATTTAAGAAAAAAGTAATAATTATCCGATTAGTTGACTAATCGTTTCAATAGTCGCTGACTAGTCGACTGTCAAAATAGTCGTTAGTTGCAGCCCTAATGTTTTGTAATCAGTTGACTTTTCATGCTGTCTCAAAAGGAATCAAATATTTTTTCCAAGCACTAAGCTCACTTAAATGATTGCTCCTTCCTGTGTTTCCAAAAATGCGGCGACAAAAGTAAATAACACAGTCATTCTTTTCACTGTAGACAAGCCATGATCTGCTTATCTGTTCTCCATTTTTCATTTGAATGAAATAATAGGTGGAAGTAAGTCTGTGCCCATCTCCATTTTTTGGAAAGATCCTGTCCTTCACCTGGAGTGGTCCTCTCCATACTATCGAGCATTGTACTTGATCGGACAGTGCTGGGTCATCTTCCAGAAGAATCATGTCTCATGCTGAAAACAATCACACATAATACACAATATAAGACTTTACCCAGTGGTTAAATATAAGTATTTTTACACAATCTCTGATCCTCCGGTGTTACATAGATGCATGTCACAGGACACATACAAATATAACAATTTCTTAAACTGCTTACTAGCTGAGTGGATGATGCTGAACTAGCAAATAGAAAGTAAATTCAAAACTTACTTTAAAATGACCCAATTTAATGTATCTTCAATAAATTAAATAAATACTTATCAATACAGGGGGATGGTTTAATACCAGTAGTTCATCTATACACAATGGACCCTTCACAGGTTCCAAATTACCACTGACATTGCTGTACATTGTGGGTTACTGCTGCTTGTGTTAGCCGCTGCCGCAGTGAAGAAGCAAGGAGTCAGTTATTTTCGGTAACTTTAAAGCAGCTTATTACTTGCCTCCTTCTTTCTCCTCTTTTCAGCACCACTAGAGTAGCTTCTTTTCATCTCTCATTTCTTTTTTTTTTTTTTCTTTTTTTTTTTCCATCTCTCATTTCTTTTCCTCTCTTGGGGGGCCCTAAGAGACACACTTAAGGTAATAAGCATTCTACTGGCATTTTAGCTAAAGGAATTTTATCAAAAACGTAATTAATGTGCACAAATAAGTATTAACCATATATGTAAAAGGAGTTTTATGGGCTTCCCAGGAACTCGGGGCCCTAGGCAACTGCCTATGTTTGCCTAATGTTTGCTGGAGAGAATTATAAATATTATCATTGTATAACTATGTCATTGTGGGATTTCACTGGCAGTGTCTTCCACAGGACTGTTGGAATTTTTCCCACATCCATACATGGCCTTTATCTTCAGTTATGAACTGTGGCTTAAAAATAAGCCACAATTAATTAGTGTGGCTTACATTGCAACACATCAAACCATAGATTGGTCCCGCTTACAGAAAACCGACTCAGCAAAGACTAAACCATATAATAGATGTTCTTGCATAGCACCAGGAAGCAGGATTTAAAGCTGGAGTCCCCACACATCTAACCTTTGATGCAGAGCAATATTGCTTGCCAGCAGCTCATTTATCTGGTCAAGTTGCAAACAAAGAGCATCAGCAATGTGAGAAGAATGATTAAAAGTCCTACATTAAATGTGCAAAACCACAAAAAAAATTGGATCCCAAGAGTGTAACAAGATGGATAGTGCTGGGAGTACAGTATAAACATTTTTACTCACTGAAGTGGAAGGTAAAGCTTTCAGCGTAACTGGACTGGTTTGAACCCTACTGGAAGGACAGGGACAGGAACTTTAAATCAGAGAACGGAAAAATAACATGCAGGGTTTCTAAAGATTCCATTCTGGTGGCCCTCCAATTCAATAACTGCACTACTTTACCTTAACTATGCAGATGACACACAGTTATGCATTATAATGACTTTGAACCCATCAGATCCTTAGCTAAAAGCATATAAAAGATCAGCACAAGTATGTGTATAATAATTCTCTCCAATGGAACTAAAAACTGAGATATTAATCTTCAGACCAAAGAAGGAGATCCAGAATTAGCTCACAGCTTCAGCTATTAAAGCTGTCATGATGGGATTAAGGTTCCTAACCCACATGCAGAACACACACGGAGTCAGATGAAAAGTTTGACTGTTTATTGAGAAAACACAATGTTAATAAACTTGATGCTGGGAAACAGATCCGGGACTGGTCACACAGGGTTCTCTGCAGAGAGGGATAGTTAGGTTAGCCAGGATGCAGTTGATCTTGTCAGAGGAGTTGTGCAGGTCTGTACCTGTGATGTGGTTCAGGCTGAGCAGCAGAGGGAGGGAACCAGGAGGGTCCAGAGGCAGATGGTCGGCAGAGGGCTAGGCAACGGCAGGGCTCGACTTCAGACTTGTTAGTGTTCAGGTCCTGAGTTTCTTCCAGTTCTCTTCTTGAGAGCGGACAGGCAGGTTCAGATAGTTTGATCCACAGATGTGCTTCTAAGAGCAGGCAAGCAGGTTTCAGCTGAGAAACTCTTCCAGAGTTCCAGTGTTCAGTCAGGTTCTTCCTAGGAAGCAGAGAGGACAAAAACTGGTTAGGTTCAAGTCAGGTTTTCAGGGGAGTCAGAGAATCAGACAGGCTGGTTGGCTCAGGCTTGCTAACCGTAACTGGCTTAACACTCTGCACTGGAGTGTTGCACTGCCACTGCTTATATGCTGGTCTCCTGATGAGCAGATTGGGAACAGCTGGTGAAGTCAATTCCAGCTTCAGGAGACCCAGAACGCCCTCTGGAGGAGAAAGGCAGACAGAACCCAGAAACCAACAGAAAAACAAATCCCCAGGAAGGGATCCTTGGCGCCCTCTGGTGGGCAAGCCTCCGGATCCCAACAAAAGCTAGAAACCACTGATTATGGGCCACATCTTTGTGTCACAATGGATTTAGACCTGAACCTACACAGCCACATAAAGGCAGTTACTAAGTCTGCCTTTTATCACCTGAAGAAACTTTCCAGGATTAAAGAACATCCGAGCAAAACTCATTTATGCATTTATCTTTAGTAGAATTTATTACTGCAACAGTGTCTATATAAGTTTGCCTATAAAGTCTGTCAGACAGCTCCCACTGCTTCCTGTGTTCTCACTAGAACTAAGAAGGTAGAACACATCATCCCGGTTCTTAGGTCCTTATACTGGGTCTCTCAGAGAATAGTTTAAAATCCTTTTGTTAGTCTATAAATCATTGAATGGATCATCGAAGCACTTTGAGTTACCTATGTAATTATTTGCTCTATACAAATAAACGTGACATGCCTTGCATCTGAATGGAAGTTCATGCACAGGCTAAACTGAATTCAAATATTTATACCTTTCCAAGTTTTCCCAGGGCCTCTGTGTTCCACTAATGCGCTATATCATATATTACAGCTAAACTGTTAAACATACTTTTACACTCACCGGCCACTTTATTAGGTACCCCATGCTAGTAACGGGTTGGACCCCCTTTTGCCTTCAGAACTGCCTCAATTCTTCGTGGCATAGATTCAACAAGGTGCTGGAAGCATTCCTCAGGGAGTTTGGTCCATATTGACATGATGGCATCACACAGTTGCCGCAGATTTGTCGGCTGCACATCCATGATGCGAATCTCCCATTCCACCACATCCCAAAAAAGATGCTCTGTTGGATTGAGATCTGGTGACTGTGGAGGCCATTTGATTACAGTGAACTCATTGTCAAACCAGTCTGAGATGATTCCAGCTTTACGACATGGCGCATTATCCTGCTGAAGTAGCCATCAGAAGTTGGGTACATTGTGGTCATAAAGGGATGGACATGGTCAGCAGCAATACTCAGGTAGGCTGTGGCGTTGCAACGATGCTCAATTGGTACCAAGGGGCCCAAAGAGTGCCAAGAAAATATTCCCCACACCATGACACCACCACCACCAGACTGAACCGTTGATACAAGGCAGGATGGATCCATGCTTTCATGTTGTAGACGCCAAATTCTGACCCTACCATCCGAATGTCGCAGCAGAAATCAAGACTCATCAGACCAGGCAACGTTTTTCCAATCTTCTATTGTCCAATTTCGATGAGCTTGTGCAAATTGTAGCCTCAGTTTCCTGTTCTTAGCTGAAAGGAGTGGCACCCGGTGTGGTCTTCTGCTGCTGTAGCCCATCTGCCTCAAAGTTCGACATACTGTGTGTTCAGAGATGCTCTTCTGCCCACCTTGGTTGTAACAGGTGATTATTTGAGTCACTGTTGCCCTTCTATCACCTCGAACCAGTCTGGCCATTCTCCTCTAACCTCTGGCA